GCGACTCAGGCCTATCGGCCAGTTTTAAAGGGAATGAAAAATAAAACGTTGATCTACGTTCGGAGCCTGCCGCAGTTTAGGGGTTAAAGCTCTGCAACAGATTCACCTTAACCAGCAAATAGTAATAATAATAATATAATATCTTTATTTACTACATGTACAATGCATACAGGCCTAGCTGACATCAATGACATACTACTACAGTATAAAGAAAGCCCCTTGTTATGCAGAGCATTTCGGGCAAATTAGGCCAGTTATGTCCCAGGATGCGGCCCACACCAGTCCACTAACACCCAGGTACCCATTTTGCTGATGCCAACAACTCAATTACCGGGAATGGTTGAAGTCCCTTGACCTGTATTCCATGGTACACAGGCAAAACAGATACATCGTAATATACACTTGGAAAATCCTAGTGGAACTAATCCCAAATCTGCACATGGCAATCACTCCCTATGAAAGTAAAAGACTCAGGTGGGTCATTGGGCTAATGCGGAGGAGGGGGGACATGGACCTGCTTCGCATGGGTCAGTAGGCCTGCTGCAGTGGTCCTTCTTTCTTATGTTATGTTCTAATCATGCTAGTGGCTCCTCTGCTTTTTATTGGGGAATGTTGCATCGTCTGCCGAGTCTTTTGCTTTCATAGGGAGTGATTTTCGTGTGCAAGTTTGGCACTAATCCCGCTAGTATTTTCCAAGTGTATAAAAACCTGAATATCTCCCGCCTGCATTCTAGGGAATACAGGTTCAGGAACCTCAAGCGCTCCCACTAACTGAGGTGTTTTATCTCCGTTATGCGCGCCGTGAAGGTTCTCTGTACATTTTCTAGGTCAGCAATTTCACCTGCCTTGAAAGGTGCTGTTAGTGTGCAGCAATATTCCAGCCTAGATAGAACAAGCGACCTGAACAGTGTCATCATAGGCTTGGCCTTCCTAGTTTTGAAGGCTATCATTATCCATCCTGTCATTTTTCTAGCAGATGCGATTGATACAATGTTATGGTCCTTGAAGATGAGATCCTCTGACATTATCGCTCCCAGGTCTTTTACATTAGTTTTTTGCTCTATTGTGTTGTTGGTACTTGTTTTATACTCCAATATAGTTTAAATTTCCTCAAGTTTTCCATAATGGAATAATTGAAATTTCTCATAAATGAACTTCATATTGTTTTCTGCAGCCCATTGAAAGATTTGGTTGATAAAATAATAGAGAAAAAAGAAATCCCATTGGGGATCTTCATTGACTTACGTAAAGCTTTTGATACAGTTGACCATGACTTGCTCCATGTAAAATTGTCACACTATGGTATAAGAGGGCACTCCCTCAACTACCTAAAGTCATACCTCAGCAACAGAAGCCAATATGTGTACACAAATGGGGCAAGCTCTTCTGCACAGCCAATTACAGTTGGTGTCCCACAGGGAAGTGTCCTAGGCCCTCTTCTCTTTCTCATTTACATAAATGACCTACCAAATGCATCACAACTGCTCAAACCCACACTTTTTGCAGATGACACTACATACGTCTTCTCTCACCCGAGCCCAGTCACGCTAGCCAATACTGTAAACACCGAATTACAGAAAATATCTACCTGGATGAGGACTAACAAACTTACTCTAAACATTGACAAAACCTACTTCATTCAGTTTGGTAACAGAGCTACAGATGTCCCTCTTAACATAATGATAAACAGATCACCTATCACAAAACTCACAGAGAGAAAATTCTTAGGAATCCACCTTGATAGTAGACTCAAATTTCAAACGCACATATAACAAATTTCCAAAAAAATTTCCAAGACCGTAGGCATACTATCGAAGATACGGTACTATGTTCCACAGTCAGCCCTCCTGGCCCTATATCACTCACTTATTTACCCCTATCTCACCTATGGAATTTGTGCATGGGGCTCAATCAACAATAAACCATCTCAGACCACTAATTACCCAACAAAAGGCTGCAGTTAGAATGATAACAAATTCCCACTACAGGCAGCACACTCCACCAATATTCAAAACTCTAAACCTACTCACCAAACAAAACATCCATACTTTTTTACTGCACCTACTACATACATAGAACACTTAACTCTGATATTAACCCTCCCCTCAAACGTCTCCTTACCAACCTCAACAGAACACATGACCATAACACAAGGCACAGATCACTCTTTGATGTTCCTCGTGTCCATCTCACCTATGCAAAAACTCATGCACATAAAAGGCCCTAAAATCTGGAATTCATTACCTGTGAATATAAAAGAAACACTTTTTAAAAAATCAAGTTCTTCTCAAAAATCACTTACTACCCCAACAAAATAAATCTGAAAATTGTATCTCATAAATTGTATCTCAAAAATTTTTCTCATTATTGTATTCATAAATTCAACCGTGCCCCAAAAAACTGTTTTTTTTAAAATTCTTTACCTAACAGAATTTCCCCCACTCTTTTGAATTTCGAAACACAGTAATGACCATATGATCTGTTTTGTAATACTCATTTGGCAAATTGTTACTGTTTACAATAATGTTTTTCCAAAATTTATCATTGCTTAGTTATCTTAAGTTAATTTTTTAAAGCCTGCCCGAAATGCCTGCAAACAAGGGGGGGGCATGTTGATTTTAATAACTTATTCCTTTGCACTTTCTGGTCATTTCAAATTAAAAAAAAATAAATAAAATGCTGCCGGGGTTCTTGCAGTGTTTTCATGGAGGACACTGTCATCAAATGCGGGTGTCTTTGCAAAGGAAAACATTTTTGCTGTGGCCTAATCACTGTCTATGCAATAGGGGATGAGAACAAGATGGGAGCGAATACTGCCCCTTTGGGAACGGAGCTTTCCACAGTAGCCGCCCAGACTTTACTGTTTGCTAAATCTTTGTGTTCTATTTGTTGGGAAATTATAGATCCATTCCCACTTTTCCTGTTTTTCCCTTTTATCACGCATTTTGTGCCTTTTACACCTGGTCCATTTTTCAAAAGGGTTTTTTAAATCGTGTATAACATCTGCATTTTTTTTGTTTCTAAGGGATGAGGACCTTGTCATAGTGGTAGTAGTTGGGACAGGGAAGCGAACTGCTCTTAACCCCCTTTGCCCTGGGTTGTGTAACTGATGGGTATCTAATGAGTGGGGCTTGCTTTTTAGAAAAACCCCTTTCAAAGATGTTTATATAGGGATTTAGTGCTATCAGTCTGTATTCTTTGTATTGCTTTACTTTTCCCCTTGTGGAGTGGGGGCTAGTCTGTTGTTTTTTGCAAATTTTTGGGACGAACAAGTCCATGCTCCCCTCGCAGGATGTTAAAAGCACATGACGGGTTTCGGGTTTTTGATGAACACGGAGTTTCATATCTGAAACCCGGGGCAGAGTGCATGGGATGCTTTATGCCTTTCCAAGTCAATTGCATCAGTAATAACAATAGGGTTGATCTACCAAAATTTTGTCTCCTCATTTTTGATCTTCGACTCTACCCAGTTAGCGGCTCACTAAAAACCTTTCTCTTTCTAGTTTACATCTTCTCTTCCTTTTCCTTAAAGGAATATTATGCCCTGAGCAGACCTCAAGTGCCACAGAGTTAATTTGTTCTAGAAAAGGTTTCGATCCATGTTGCTTAGGATATTTTCCCAGTTTATATCATCTGGGACTTGGCTGACTTGGTCCCACCTTATGTTTTTGTTATTGAAGTTGAATTTGGTGAAGGCTCCCTCATGACTGATCACATTTTGTTGGTCTGAGGCCCCGCACATACATGTCTGAACCTCTTTTATGTTGCGATGCAAGTATATTTTTTTTTTTGATATGGTAATATTTCTTATCAGATCATCATTGTTAGTGAAGATGAGGTCCAGTGTATTCTCCAATCTTGTTGGCTCTATTATTTCCTGACTTAAGGTGAATTTGGTGCAGAGATTTAAAAGCTCGTGTGTGTGTGCGAGTTTTCATCTGAGCTGCCGCCTGGGGTTAGCTCTGCTAACCCCAGGAGCAAGATGTTTGGGGCAGGAGCTGAAGATTTTCCAGACAGTGGTCTATTTTCAAAAGCTGTCTCTGCAATTGTTGAGAAGTTGTATCCAGAGGCTTGTATACAATCACAATGACCGGGGTTTTGGGTTTCTTGACCTTTACTGCCAAAACTTCAACTACATCTTTTGAGGCATTTAGTTCCGAGTATATCAGTGACTGTGACGCAGAGGCCAAATCCCCCTTCCTCCCCAACCCAACCTTTTGCCTGTTCACTCTGTTGCATTTGTATAGGTTATAAACCCAGGATCCATATTTCATTGTCAAGTGATCCTTTATATGGGTATCTGTGAACACCGCGAACATTGCGTTTGACTCTGTAAACAGTCTACGGATGAAAGGTACTTTGTTGTTTGTTGCTGGCTTTAGCCCCTTTGTATATTTGCAAAGATTTGTACTGGTGGTATGGGGGGAGGTCTTTTTTTCCTGGCACTAATATCTGTTGTTTTGGAGTGGAGGCCATTGACTGTGATTCCGCTCCAGAAATGATCAGAGTTGGTACCCGATTTCTGTCATTTCCTGTCAGCTTGTTTTTCCTTCCCAACGCTAAAAAACCCAACATTGATTTTGTTGTTTCAGAACAACCCAACAGATGATTAGCAAGATGGTCCTTGGACCATTCAGGAGTTTGATCCTAGTTTTACTCACTTGACAGACAACTCTAACATGGTTGCAGACATCCTGTCTCACCACATTGCTGCAATTGTAGATGCACCTCCTTTTAGTGAAGAGGAAGTTAAAAACCACTCAACAAATAGATCCAACCTGGTCTGTTGTAATTAGATTCTTGACAAAGGAAGATCATTGTGGAAAGGCCAGCTCTTATCACTGACTGTTATGAGTCAAGATTTGTTGTACCAAGTAGCTGAGCTTTATAACCCAGCTGAAGAGTGCACTAGTTAGTTTACAGTCATGGCGGCAATGATGTTGCCGCTGCCAGTGCCACCAGTAATGAACTTGTCTATCAAAGGTAACTAAAAAACATACTGTATGTGCAATTTATTAAATGTGAATTATTGCTCTTACATATTTCCATTTTCTTCCTCATGATAGTTCACCCATGCACCCAATTCTTTCCCCATATTGAACATCTACAGAGGATTTATTTACTGTATTAATAAATCTTGTGTATGTTCTGGCATTCAAACATTTAATGCTACTCAATGCTTCTTGTTCCAACTCAGACATTTATATCCCTGCTCCTATACTTTCTAATTACTCCATCCCTGCATGCTGTATAAATATAATTAGAGTCACTAGAAATTTTGTAAATAGGATCACAGTCAGAGCCAGTGAGCTGGTATGGACTTGAGCCATCCAGAGTGTAGAACTGACAGGTGCCATCCCGTCTTCCAGCCAACACTCCTCCTGCATGAGGAGTCAAACTCTCCACTGGTGAGGCACTGTGGTGAGCCAAAGGTCGAGTTGTAAGTGTCTAGAAAGGAAGACGAAAAAAATCTGAATTACCTTAAATTAAGTAAAACCTATGGATTACACTACCTATATCTAAATACTACTGAAAATTTATGTTGTCACATAAATTTTCAGTAGTATCTAGCCTTCACATTTCTTAAGTGCCGGTGGAAAAAAACATTAAAAATTATCATTTTGCAGTCAGCATGTAGGAGATTAAAAATATTTTCTTCCTTTCATTTTTAGATAATATACTAACCGCAGCATCAACGACATCCAGGCAGCCATTACTCAAGCCCACGACCCCTAGAGTGGAAGAGGCCCAACACACAGAGAGGACTGCTGCACCAAGTGAGAATGAGCCCATGAGAGAGCGACTCTCCACAGCCACTAAGTAAACCAAACCTTCTTCACAGCCAACAAGCAGGACCTTCCCAGCAGTGCCATGTTCCAGCTCATCTGAAGTTTGTATACTACGTGTAAATATATAACATTATCAAATTATTTTACTTATTTTTTAAATTACTATTATTTTTCAGAATGTAGTCTTCAAGTTCTCTAGAAAATCATGATTGTTAAACATATCTGGCAGCTTATTTAGCAACATTCTTCTTGGTATAATATAACCCTTTCAAAACTCACAATTCCTGCATCACAATCTTAATAATAAAAAAAATACCATGTTACTCTAAAAAGTTCATTTAAGAAATATGAGAAAAATTATAAAAAGTGGAAAGTACCAGAAAATTACTTCATATTTTGAAAACCATTTACAAAGTGATATGTTTTAAAAGGCTTTTTAAGAGGTTGCAAAGTTCGCCCTCTTAATCCCTCAGTTCTGTCTATATTCTCTTGTACGTACTCACCCTCTGTATCCCTCAGTTCTGTCTATATTCTCTTGTACGTACTCACCCTCTGTATCCCTCAGTTCTGTCTATATTCTCTTGTACGTACTCACCCTCTGTATCCCTCAGTTCTGTCTATATTCTCTTGTACGTACTCACCCTCTGTATCCCTCAGTTCTGTCTATATTCTCTTGTACGTACTCACCTCTGTATCCCTCAGTTCTGTCTATATTCTCTTGTACGTACTCACCCTCTGTATCCCTCAGTTCTGTCTATATTCTCTTGTACGTACTCACCCTCTGTATCCCTCAGTTCTGTCTATATTCTCTTGTACGTACTCATCCTCTGTATCCCTCAGTTCTGTCTATATTCTCTTGAACGTACTCACCCTCTGTATCCCTCAGTTCTGTCTATATTCTCTTGTACGTACTCATCCTCTGTATCCCTCAGTTCTGTCTATATTCTGTTGTACGTACTCACCCTCTGTATCCCTCAGTTCTGTCTATATTCTCTTGTACGTACTCACCCTCTGTATCCCTCAGTTCTGTCTATATTCTCTTGTACGTACTCACCCTCTGTATCCCTCAGTTCTGTTTATCTTGTACGTACTCACCCTCTGTATCCCTCAGTTCTGTCTATATTCTCTTGTACGTACTCACCCTCTGTATCCCTCACTTCTGTCTATATTCTCTTGTACGTACTCACCCTCTGTATTCCTCAGTTCTGTCTGTATTCTCTTATACGTACTCACCCTCTGTATTCCTCAGTTCAGTCTATATTCTCTTGCACGTACTCACTCTCTGTATCCCTCAGTTCTGTCTGTATTCTCTTGTACGTACTCATCCTCTGTATCCCTCAGTTGTCTATATTCTCTTGTACGTACTCACCCTCTGTATTCCTCAGTTCAGTCTATATTCTCTTGCACGTACTCACTCTCTGTATCCCTCAGTCCTGTCTGTATTCTCTTGTACGTACTCATCCTCTGTATCCCTCAGTTCTGTCTATATTCTGTTGTACGTACTCACCCTCTGTATCCCTCAGTTCTGTCTATATTCTCTTGTACGTACTCATCCTCTGTATCCCTCAGTTGTCTATATTCTCTTGTACGTACTCACCCTCTGTATCCCTCAGTTCTGTCTATATTCTCTTGTACGTACTCATCCTCTGTATCCCTCAGTTCTGTCTATATTCTCTTGTACGTACTCACCCTCTGTACCCCTCAGTTCTGTCTATATTCTCTTGTACGTACTCATCCTCTGTATCCCTCAGTTCTGTCTATATTCTCTTGTACGTACTCATCCTCTTTATCCCTCAGTTGTCTTTATTCTCTTGTACGTACTCATCCTCTGTATCCCTCAGTTCTGTCTATATTCTCTTGTACGTACTCACCCTCTGTATCCCTCAGTTCTCTCTATATTCTCTTGTACGTACTCACCCTCTGTATCCCTCAGTTCTCTCTATATTCTCTTGTACGTACTCACCCTCTGTATCCCTCAGTTCTGTCTATATTCTCTTGTACGTACTCACCCTCTGTATCCCTCAGTTCTGTCTATATTCTCTTGTACGTACTCACCCTCTGTATCCCTCAGTTCTGTCTATATTCTCTTGTACGTACTCAAGTACTTTTAAACTCTAGAATCTCACATCGAGCATTTAAAAATCATGATTGAAATACTGTAGCCAAGTGTTAACTGTGTGGGAATCTGACCAGTCAGTCACACAAAGTTTAGGAAAAACAAGTACGTACATGGAAAATTTTCCCTGACAAGTGGCAGAAATTATTTCTGAGGAACCCCATGATATTGGTAAATATGAAGTTTTTTATGGAGCAGTAACCTGCACATCTAGAAGCATTGTTTTCCTACACAAGACAATGGTAGGAGGCCTACTGGCCCAGCCTATGCTGCTTCTACTCTTAGCAAATCATACATGATATACTACTGATAGCAAGTGCCATAAGAGTGAGGCGTGGGAAGAGAGGGTGTGAGTGTAGGTAGCAGGGTGGTCTGGGAAAGAGAATGAGTGTAGGTAGCAAGGTGGTGTAGGAAAGAGAATGAGTGTAGGTAGCAAGGTGGTGTGGGAAAGAGAATGAGTGTAGGTAGCAAGGTGGTGTAGGAAAGAGAATGAGTGTAGGTAGCAGGGTGGTGTAGGAAAGAGAATGAGTGTAGGTAGCAAGGTGGTGTAGGAAAGAGAATGAGTGTAGGTAGCAAGGTGGTGTAGGAAAGAGAATGAGTGTAGGTAGCAAGGTGGTGTAGGAAAGAGAATGAGTGTAGGTTTGCAGGGTGGTGTAGGAAAGAGGATGAGTGTAGGTAGCAAGGTGGTGTAGGAAAGAGGATGAGTGTAGGTAGCAAGGTGGTGTAGGAAAGAGAATGAGTGTAGGTAGCAAGGTGGTGTAGGAAAGAGAATGAGTGTAGGTAGCAGGGTGGTGTAGGAAAGAGAATGAGTGTAGGTAGCAAGGTGGTGTGGGAAAGAGAATGAGTTGTAGGTAGCAGGGTGGTGTAGGAAAGAGAATGAGTGTAGGTAGCAAGGTGGTGTAGGAAAGAGGATGAGTGTAGGTAGCAAAGGTGGGTGTAGGAAAGAGAATGAGTGTAGGTAGCAAGGTGGTGTAGGAAAGAGGATGAGTGTAGGTAGCAGGGTGGTGTAGGAAAGAGAATGAGTGTAGGTAGCAAGGTGGTTGTAGGAAAGAGAATGAGTGTAGGTAGCAGGGTGGTGTAGGAAAGAGAATGAGTGTAGGTAGCAGGGTGGTGTAGGATAAGAGAATGAGTGTAGGTAGCAGGGTGGTGTGGGAAAGAGAATGAGTGTAGGTAGCAAGGGGTTGGGGGGTG